TTATCACTGTATGAATTATTATATCTGTAGAAGACTTTCATACACACATTATAACACACACACACACACACCTCTGGATCTTCCCTGAAGTCTCAGCTCTCCTGCTTTCCCAATATACACTTCTAGACCACTACTAACCCTGGGCAATTTTTTCTTCCTACCATGCTCCTGTTTTCTCTACCCTCTGTCGCTTTTTTCCTGTTTCCTCCTAAGTTATTTTTCTTTTATCTCTATATTACATTTCAGTTCCTTCTACAGTTTGCCTCATTCTACGGTTGCATACATTTTGATAACCAGACTTTTATTTAACTGCAAAAGATACATTTCTTTCTAGAAATTATCATGACACGATCATCAAATCTAAAAGACCTACGCTAACTGTTGGAGCATAATTCATCCCACAGCCTAACATGATAGTTTCAGTTGTTGCAAGCTAAACAGAAAAAAAGTTTTCATTCCTAAAAGCTATGTTTTAGTCCCAAAAAAGTATGTGAATGGATGATTGTACTTTGTGCTCAACTGAACATTTAAACAACAACTGAGTCACTCAAGCCACAAACACACTCACATAGGTCTTACCTGATAAGGATAGAGCGTAACGCCTCCATTAGTTCGGCTAAGGTGTTGATGTGCCTGCAGAGCTGCTGTACTCAAAACTGCTCCACCTCCGTTAGTGCTGCTGTTACTGCTGTTGCTGCTGGGACTGTTAACTCCACTCACTGGTTGTTGCTGGGCACCAGCTGATTTAGCTGAACTGGAGGATCCACCCCGTCTGTCCATACCAGCTCCCAAGCCCAGGGAGCTGGGCTTGGTCCCCAGTCTATGCCCTCCTCCTTGAGGTTGTTGGTTTGTGACAGGACAGCTGGATGTTTGTCCCACTGATGGACTCCCATGGCTGGAACTGGATAGTCCATGGCTTGGACTTGGTGTTGGCGTCTGGCTAGGGCTTGGAGAAGTTGACAAGGATGATGAGTGAGAAGGGTTTGAAGCAGCAGAAGAAGTGGAAGAAGACGGAAGAAACGGAGGCGGCCATTCTCGTGACACGGGACCTGATGGTGGTCCATGAGATCCATATCGCCCAATTGGAACTGGAGGGGAAGAGGTGGGAGATAAATCCCACTGGTCGAGAGTGAGGACCATGCGTACAGCTTCCTGTTTAAGTTGAGTGAGGTGTGTGGCGCAGACATCGCAGCGACTGTCGCGCTCATTCCACGCCCGCCAAGAACTGTTGGGCACCTGAAGCTTATCGTGGAGGAGGAGCGAGAAAGAGGGATCCTGGAAGAAAAGACTGAGAATTAGCAGAGGTAACCAGGGATACAGACTGGTGAGTACTGCACTGACTCAAGCACAACATTGTAAATGCAACATGATATGTTGTCTAATAAAGAAAAACCAGTGGAGACAAAGATGACAACCATTCTTAAACAGTCCTTACTTAATATTAATACAAAAGCTTAGAAACATTTCAGTGTTCTTTTGAGTTAGAAGGCAAACACAAAATAAACCCCAAAATATTCATAAAAAAGTACATGCACAAACATACTGTGTCCCAAGGGTTTAAAGGGTGGAAGTGTGACAGAAGCTAGCTGCAAGGGATGTCATCTAATATAGACTGACCTTCTGCTCTCTCTTCTGCCTCCTTTTTTCTATTTGTTTAAAATTTTCCTGCACTGCATTGTGTGCACAAAGAGAATACAGTAACATTACCGCATTAAATCAACTAATCTGAAGCACTGTGGTTCAGAAAACCACAATAAAACAAGGCAATTAATATCCACTTCATGCAGACAAGAGGTTAATTGCTTGACTCAGCTTCCTGTGGTGAATAAAAATTTAATTTATAACCAAATTGAGGTGAATTATTTGAAAATCAATTTCTAAGACTGAGAAATTACTGCATTTATTTCTCATAAAAAGCCAATAAAAAAAGATTTGATTAAGAGGGAATGGCTAAATGAAGGTCATCCATTACAGTTTTTGTTCCTTAATTCCATAAATAGAAGTTCATAAGCATCTTAAAAGCATCATGTTAAACTGCACTCCCGTTGCAATAGTTAGATGTTAATGTTGATTAATTGGTTACACATAATATGCTACATTGTGCAAAAAAGGACAATTTTGATACACTCATAATATTGATACAATGATATTTTATCCATATAATATAAAATGCCATTTCAGTAGCCTGTCATATTTTCACTTTATGACATCAATGTATTAAACTGTACTCCCTCCCTAAAGATGTATAAAATACACATAAATTCTATCTTGAAATGGGATGGGTTTTAGCAACCCCAGACCCTACTAGGAATGAATGATATAGCAAACGAATGAACAGTGGATTTTCCCTTTAAAAAACAAGTAGGTGTTTGGGGGTTTTCGGCATTTGAGAGTGGTTATCCCACAGGCGAAAACTATAATGGACCAATCAGTGACTTGAATGGTCCATGTCACTGATTAGATATTTCCACTTAGCTTTCATTAAGTATCTTTAGAAATCCAGCATTGTTTCTGTTTTTTTTTCAAATTATTTCTGTGTGCATACATAGCCTTAACACTTCTTTACTTGTCCACCTCTGCAACTGATACATTCTCAAAGATATGTAACTTTACAGGTAAAGGGTGCAACCAAACTATCAATGTACAGTTCGAGTTAGAGAACCCAAAGATGAAGTTAAATATGTTCCACAACAGCAGTCTGAAAATACTGACTATGCAACACCAAGTCCTAAAGATAAGTAATAGAAAATGTAATAATAACAAATGAATATGTTTTTTGTGTGTGTGTGTGTGTCTGTCTGTCAATTTTCATCACTTGTGGATCTTTCTTTCAGCGTTTATTTGATTCATTCTTTTTATGTACATGTGTGAGTAATTACAGCCATGTTTGCTTATGGGCAGAGATAAGGATTTTTGCCCAATTTGTTTGCACAGTTATAAATGCCAGCCTACTTGTGTATTTGTACTTGTGCAAGAGTGTGTTTAGTGTATTGTATATATGTTTTCCACATTAATTGGAACCATTTGTGCAGGACTAAGCCTCTCTAAACCTCCTGCTGTGACTCTCTGCTCTAAATACCACAGTTAACATACAAAAGCAATACACACGCACCCTGATACCGATCTGTGTCTAAACTTCTTCTGACCACAGCTGGAAATATTTCTTTTGACATTTTCCACAAAGCTTTGTTGATTTTTGACAAAGCGTTTCAGTAAAAAATCCCTCTGAGTAGCTGATTGCTGTTTACTTACTTTCAACTAAAAATATCAAGAGCATAGGCTTAAAGAGCATATAAGGTTTAGACCGCTCATTTAATAACTATTCTCAGACCTATTCTTATTACAATTGGGAATATATTAATCTTCCTTTCAACCTGTCCAGTTCATCAAAACATTGTCTTCTCTCAGCACTACAACCTAGTATATGGATGAAAGTTTAAATCATCTTGTGCTTTTTAAGAATTTAGATAGTAAAGAATGAATTAAAGCGCTGCTTTTATATCCATCTTTATCCCATCATACCTTCCCAGCATGAAGCCAGAACTGGCACCCCTTGTTTACATTTATCAGTACATGAGCCATAAAGATCCAGAATGTGTTTGTCTAACCAGTATTCATGTGGTAGAAAAATCCTTTCAGATTTATTCCATCAAACATTAAGATAGCGATGAAAAAAATTGACAAAGAAGACAGAAAACCATTTTGAATGACATACATTTGACTTCTTAAGAGTCAAATCAGAAAAGTCTATAATTTCCTCTCACTATAAACATGAGTTTATAACACTATCTGGTTGTGTGTTTCAGTCCATGCCAACAAAGCATCATACATACTAAAATGGCTTTATCTTCCAGTAGATTGGATGTGTCTGTGAGTAGCCACTTTTCTGATACAAATTCACATACTGAAGCCTCTATGCTAAATGGAAAAGTAAATATGTCACCCACAAATAGGCCTTTATCAGTTAGAGGTCTCTTACCTTTGCTCAATCAGTGTACCCTCTGTGCCTCTGTGGGCGGGTATATATGTGTGTCAGTGGACACAAAGCAATGCTTCATTCATTAGCAAAATGCCCCCTCTTCATGTAAGAACTCCCTGCTCGGCTGTGTCAACAAACCAGGAAACCATAAGATAAACACCCTCATCCATGGTGTGAGCTTGACCCTCGGAGAGCCTGCATTCGAGTGTGTGTTAAAACATAAAGAACCTTGTAAGGTGTGCAAACGTTTGGACTCATAAAAACAGCCTGGCTGAGCGAAGGCAGACTTGAAGTCTTATATTAAATTCAGAAGACTGTTTGAATGGCTTTATATCCAGTTAAAGGTGGCAGAACAAACATAATGACAAAGGATAGCACTATCAATATGTTGATAAGTAATCAGATAAGACACATGATCGGCCTGTCTTAAAATTTTGAAATTGGGGAGAGAGTTTTGTCTTGAAAATAGTGTAAAAAAACTGGCCATTAATACCTCCTTAGGTAAACACACACTCTCTGTGGCGTTTCTTTAACTCTATTCCTATATTTTTCCTGTCAATAAATCTTCAATGGTTTTAAAGTATCTCATCAAAAAATATATTTTATACTTTGTTATATAGTATCATCATGGATAGATTGGGGACAGATGCTAATGACTTACTATGAACTGTCATATTTTCTTGTGATTCCTCTTCCTCTTATTGAATCACATCTGTTCTTTTTTCCAGCTTCACCTTTGAGTTCATCAGCATTCTGTGAGTGACTCAGTCAGTCTGATAGCACCAGAGATAGTCATTGTGTGTTTGTGTGAACATAAACCTGCCTGTGTGTGTGTGTGTGTGTGTGTGTGTGTGTGTGTATGTGAGGGTGTGTGCGATTCATTTCCTCCTGCTGGAGGAGACAAATGCAACCTTAGCTCAATACAGGAGAGATGGAGTGAATGACAGAAACCAAAGGGATGGAGGCAGTGTCCAAGCCAACTGTGTGGTGACCTAACTGAGAGTGTGTGTATCTGTGTATGTGTGTGTCTTGTTGTGCTTGACAGTCCATCTCCCCAAGTCCTTACTTTGCACTCACATTCACGGACACACAAAAACAAGGAGAAGCTGTCGTTTTGAATCAAATCTCATTAATAACATCTGTCTGAGTACAGTCTCCCCATCACACACACACAAAGACGTAGACAAACCGAACCTACCACCATAGAACACACAGGTAAGGTATTTTGATCCCCCTACATCATCATGAAGGTGATGGCATTGCATACAAAACGAATAACAATAAAGAGGCTGGTGGATCAAAGATGAAAGAAAGGAATCTATTGCTAATTGCATTCTTAAATGTTTTTAGTTAATGTCCCTGTGTGTGTAGTTAATGCAAGATGATTGACAAAGAAAGGTACACTTTTTCTACAGCCCCCCTCAGCCCACAAATCCACACCTACCCCCCCAAAAAACAATTCATCTCCTCTTTCATCTGTCCTCATCCATTTTTCCACTATTTCCTCCTTCTGCACATGTTCTGTGATTCCAGCAATCAGAGTCTTTTCTCAGCAGGCCTGAGATCAGTGAATTCATGCAGAAGAGAGGCAGACTGTCTCTTGCACCTGTTCTGATCTATCTCTCGCACATACACACATAAACACTAGAAACAAAAACAGTGACTGTCAAAAAATACTATAAATTTGAACCATATCAATAGGCCATAATGACACACACAGGGTTCATGATGGACAATGATAGCACATGTTTGTGTTTCTGTATGACTATGAATGATTGAGTCTGGTGTCTGCAGGACCAAGGTCAGTAACACACATGTTATAAATGACAGCACACAGATCCAGCACATGGATGTGCACACATATAATACATAAATGTCACACTCACTGAGGTCAAACACATGTGCCATTTCACTAAAAAGGACATTCTTAGATTT